GAACCACCTGTTCCTAGATCACAAGTAGATCCTGAGTTAACGATTATTGTATTAATATTTATACTCAATTGACCACTCAGTGAAGCTGTAGTTAATGTACAATTTGGTGCAACATATATACCACAACCAGATGATGCGCAATCTGGAGCTGTTGGTGCAACACCACCAAGATAACATGATCCTGATCCAATATCACAAGATTGGTTTATAGCAAAATACATCACTTTATTATATGAAACAACAGTTCCACTGGGTAAGATACCACAAGTAAATGGGCCAGTTGTTGAACTTATTGTTGCACTTTGTCCTGAGCCTGCTGCAGAATACGATTGAAGAGTAGTTCCAGCTGCAACAAAACCACCAGTAGGATATACAGTAACTACCGAACCGAAAGGAAGGAGAAATTGTTTGTTTGTTGTTAAATCTTCTACTTGTCCACCAGCACCAATCTTAAGACTAATTCCAAATTTCCATGTAAAACTTGAACTACCTGAACCCAAACTTAATTTACCATATACAGTCAATGTTTTTATTCGAATACCGAATCCAGCAGTTGCAAGAACCACTTGAAAGCCGGAAGCAATAACAACATTACAAGAACCATATGGAACTATTCCACCAGCCCAGATTGATGCATCGGTGAATAGACCTGATTTAATACAGGTAAATGTGTTTGTTGGTGCCGCTCCAAGGAAACCAGATGGTCCTTTATAACAATTAACATAAATAAATTTATTCAAATAATTTTCTATTTACTTACTTGCTGTTTGAAATGCAAACGATTTACACGGAAAACTATATGTACCTGCAGTACCAAGACCAGCACTACCGGGATCAATTGAGAGTTGTAAGAGAAGGCTACTAATTTTTAATACATCTGTTTTGAACTGTTTTCTTGCATTTAGACAATGTGTATTACAATCTTTTAGTGCTTTTTTAAATCTGCATGCTATAAGAATTAATATCGATAAACTTCGTTTTGTACGTGATTTCCTATAATACAATAAATAAAATCAATCAATAAATTTTAAAAACAAATTTAATATAGAACTTACAGGCCACGTTTTCGTCTCACCACAGATGGTCCAGCTTGAGTAGTAACCCCAGTAACTTCCATGTCATCACTAGACATACCTAAACTTTTAGCAATCTAAATTAAAAAAATATATATATAATTAAATAGTAAATACAGAACAACTATCCACTTTACATCGTCAGTATTTGTTGCAGTGCCTGATAGACTTGAGTCATAATCTGCATCAGCAGAAGTTTGAAGATAGAATGGTTCATTAGCTAAAAGAATTAAAAAGACAAACAAAATTATCTTTTATTCCAGAGAAAAAAGAAAGTAATCATACAAGTCAAAACGTTTTGTGAAGCTGATGCATTTTTTGTTGGAAGATATACCGGAATTAAAGCGATTACAATCGCAGCAGCAATTGTAAATAAGAGTAAACCTAAACAACAGATTGCTGCCAAGGGCCATGCAGCTCTAATTAACAAAAAATATTCATAAGAAAAATATATTTTGAAATAAAAAACTATCTTACGCTGATCTCGACGGTGCAGCAGGTCTCATTATTTTATCCTCTTGTTTGTATCGAGGACTCGATTTTGTTTACACTGAATAATTGTATCGATTATTACTTAATTTATATATCCACTTGATAGGCATAAAAAATATATAGATTGTCCTCGCCTAACCAAACCATTCATCCCTAACGGACTCATGATCAACAAAATATTTTAGTATTTTTTTCAATTAATCATATTTTTTGAATATAGTTTTCGTTTATTTTTATTTTTGATAATATCTTTTTTTTTCTTAACCATACGAAATGTTAATTAAGCACACTGAATAAATCAAATAAAATAATTTATTCAAATTCTTTACCGTTCTATCGAACAAATCTAATCTAATCCTATAAATTTTCGATAATTTCGTTTTTAAATCTTTATCAATAATAAATTATTCTTTATAACTAAGTATTATTTAATAGCTATAATAAAATAAATAATTATTATCCTAAACTTAAATTATACATTAATGTATTTTTTTAACACTAAATAATCAAATTTATTCATCAAAATATTTTTATTTCGTTATCTTAGCTAAGGCTGTACTTATCTTGACAAGGTCGAAATCAGTCAAGCATTTCGAATTGTTTTATTATCAAAGATTATTTGCATTTCATATTGACAACAATTTGACAGAAAAAAGTGATTGTAATTATGTATGCTCTTATGTAACTGTCGGTTATAGATATAATTATAAGCGATTTTGTTTATTTTGTAATCGATTGAAGTCATGCTTTTTTTACAGGTGTGCACATAACAATGATCGTATTGTGAAAAAGTAACTTCAAAAGAAAAACAACCTTCAAACAAATATCGTCATTTAGAACAATTGTAAATAATTTCTTCAGACATATATTATAATCAAAGCCTATTATTCATATATATCGATAAATCAAAAAACAAAATAATAATTTCTTTGATATAAATCTAATTAGAAAATGAATCATATGTATTTTATTAGTTATACTTAGAATTTTATCTATTCATAAGAGAAAAAAACGTCTTTTGAAATTCTATTTATTATATATATTGATTTGAAGAATTTAGAAATCAAAATTTTATATTATTATGATACGATAATATTCTTTTGAATATCACGTGATATGTCGTGTGTCTAATTATAGCATCGTTCTACTCAGAGTCCTCCAGAGATAGAGGCAAAAGGTTTAAAATGCAATGCTAAATTTTCGATAAGATTTGTGTTGATAACACAGATTAAACTAGTAATATGTTGTATTTAAAATAAAAATTATGTCATCAGATGCAACACGAGGAGTTCTACAGTTTACATATAATCGTTTCTTTTATCATTGTACTGTTTTTTTCCAAAATGAGCAAAACTTTGGAGCTGCAATAATTAGTCGAATTGAATTTTTGTTTTTTTTTTGAAAACGATTACAATAAGTATTGTTATGTGGATTATAGGATTTACTATGAAAACGCCAGTAGAAAAAATAGTCGAGCGAAAAAAGATCGAAAAAGAAAAATATCAAACATGTAGAACGTCGTTATTAACTAAAACAGTCACACCCTCACCCTCACCTTTACTCTTCATCAAACATTATTACTCATTCATTCGATATTTTTTCTTTAAGATTTAATTTTTCGGCGTTTTCAGTACATATCGATTGCAGTTTCTTTTGTTTTTCTTTAATAAAGCATATCCAGTGAGGAAACGCTGAAATGGCACGAAAATGAGTTTACCACCGATGAAAAAATTATCTTTTCCTTCTAAAAGTTTTATCCGTACTGAAAGCGAAAAAATGCAACTATAAAACAAACGATCTTATGCAAATTGTAGAACTTCTCTTGCTGCATCTGCTGACATGTTTATATTTTTAATACAAGTGTATTACCACCATAAATGACGACGGAAGAAATATTATCGAATAGAATGAACGACGCTCGATCTATTCATACAGAAAGTATTTTTTTATAAGAAAAACAAGTACTATTTCTGAATAACTTCAAGTATATTTAATATATGTTTACTGAAAGATTATTTTTTTAAATTAATATGTATATATGTTTGTCAATATGAAATAATAGAAATTTATGGATAACTATACATGTTATACAAATACTTTTTTCTTCAATACAAATATAACTACAAACAAACAAAGAATACATACAAAAGAAAAAAGAAATCTGACACAACATTTAATATAATCACCGGACATAAATCGAATAAAAGTTTTCGTTTAGTTTTCATTTGTTGTTTTAAATTCTTCAATAAATGTTTCATTAAACTCGAATGTACTTAAACCAAATTGAATTTTAAAATGTCCTAATTGAGGAAATTCTAAATAACAATAACCATATGGATTTATTTCTTTATCAATAATAGCAAATATTTGTGATATAGCTGTCATTAATTGTTCA